ATCGGGGGTGACAGGGCCCTCCGGGGGAAGGGGCGGAGGGGGCGCGGTGCGGGCAGGGGCAGCGCGGCCTGCCTCCCCGCGGGGGCCCTGCGGGGCTGGCTGGGACCCTGGGTACAAATGCCACACGCTAGAGCGTAGCACGGCTCTCTGGAGGGAGGCCGCGCTTCCCCGGGGGGATGAGAGGTCCCTAAAACATCTGGTGACGTGACCTGGGCAGAGGGGGGTAGATAGGGGAGGCCTGGGAGAGAGGTTTTTCTGCTCGGTGTTCATCATTGAATTCCTCCCACCTCAGGACCTCACGATGAGAATGATTGAGAGCGTTGACTCCGTGATCACCAGGTCCAGCGAAGACCTCTGGGCTGAGATCTGTTCGTGCCTGCCACATCCCGACCAGAAGGATGCTAGCGATGCTTTTACAGACTCCTTTGCGGATTCCTACGCCGACGGAGGAAGCCAGGGCAATGGATCAGATGGCTCTTCCCAAACAAACCTGAAGCCCTGGGCACCCCTGAATGATTCAGAGGTGTATTTAGCATCCCTAGGTGAGTGTCTGCTAAGGCTTCATGAGGTGCCTGATGACAGCTGTGGCTCTGTTTACCGGCCGAGGTGACGGTGCTCGCGGCTCTGCTTGAAAAGGTGTCTTGCAACTATTTAATAGAGCACCTACTCGTTTCCCGCAAGTGCGATAGTGGAAATGAAAAGCGCGGTCATAGCTTCTTCAGCTATGCCACAGAAAGGAACTTTTTATCAAGTACAAACCAAAGAATTTGGTTTTTTTCCCCAAAAATAAGTAGGGTAGGGACACTGCTGTTTTTTCGCCGAAGAGCATGTAGTTCCACTGTAGTTGACGCGGGGAGGGGAAATGCATTCCGAACCCATTATAGAGCCTGTGTGTTTTTGTGTTACCAGTATTTGTCTCATTCTTTTTGTGGAGTCTCAGGAGACACTTCTGAGTGGAAAGAGAAAAGTGAAATTTCTTCTGTGACCTGTTTTCTGGTTGGAGAGGAGGGGGACAGGTATGGGAAGGAAAACTCTGGCGCTTTCCCAAATCACGCCTGCTAGAATCTGTATCTTAAGATGACAGATCATGCAGATTGTCTTTGCGCGACTGCTTCTCTTAATTCCTACATAATCTATAAAGCCATAAATTGATTGTGAACAGTGTAACAGCTGATAGAAACGCTTGATACGAGGGCTGATAAAGTTACCAGTACTGGAGCTAACATCCTAGCACAGCTAAGCGCTGCAGTCTTTAGCTCTAAGGCCACGGAATTTCTCACCCTGTTTTAAGTATTTCCCGCTCCCTTCAGAGGCCTCGTTGTACAGCAGCATTCAGCCTCGGGATGGATGCCCCTGTTGCCTGTTAGGAGGAAGCTTTGGGGTTCCCCTGCTCTCCAGCAGTTGAACTGCTGCTCCCTCCACTCGTAGCAAAATATTCTGTCTTTATGGCTCTTCTTTTCCCCTTCTTTCCCTCCTGTGGAGTTATTTTTATCTCGGGTCGGTTTGTAACCTGGTTTGCAGCGTGGCCACACACATAGTTGTCTTGGCTTGCGTAGGAGGCTGCACGCAGAAACAGGCCAGGAGGAATGGGTGGCAGAAGTGGCTTTTTAAGCTTTCATTTCTGCTAGAGCTTCCATCTTGCCTTAGTTGCTGTTTTAGACTATTATTTCACAGTGCACTAAGTAGGGCTCTTAGTATCAGATCAAGGGTGCCACAGCCACAAGACATAAATTGCTCGTTCCAACTTCTTCAGAAAATGCCGGTGGATTAATTTTTACAAGCAGGCTTCAGACTAGATCTGTGTCTGTTTTCTCACAGCCAGGATGAAAGCATAACACTAGCACAAAGTTTCTCTTCTATATTCTGGCTAAGCCAGTGGAAATACAAACCTGTTCTAGGTTTGTACTTGGCCAGGATTAGCGGTTGTGAAATCATAGCATCAGCCTGGCAGTAGTTTGGACAGATACCTGACCCGATTTAAGGAGGAAACCATTATAATGGGATTTTGTGACCAGAGGAATAAGTGAAATTTGCTTTCTTGTAGCTTTGTGCATTGCAGTTGGGTTACCCTGCGTCTGGTAGGTAAGGAGGCGCTTTTCATCATCCCCTGTGGCTGAGAAACCACAATATCCCGTTCTGTTATGAGATAGCCAACTGATAACACTGCTGCACTCGCGTTTTTTTTCCCCTCAGTTTGGGCATTATTGGGATTCACGCTACAATTAGTGTGATTTATATTTCATGCCAATTTGTATGGAAATTGTGGGAACTTAATGCCTGTGAGATCTGAACCCTCCTGGGTGATTTCATGGAAACTAAAACTCAAAAATGGGCAGAGTTGACTGATTGCATAAACCTTATTTCCTTCAGAAGCATCACCTAAAAATATCATCTTGTATACATACAAGAAACAGAGTCATGCAGACTTGAAATACGGGGGGAAAAATGACTTTTAAAATATGACTCGGTCCTGAAAAGTTAATTTAACTTTTTTGATACAGAAATCCGGATACTTCTTTTCTTCCCTTGCAGAAAAACATAATAAAGATAATAAAGACCCCTTCTTTGCCTCTTCGCAGAGAGAAGACTGATGAGAATTAAAGGCTTGTCTCAAGAGGTGACCTCCAAGGATATGCTGCGCACTCTCGCCCAGGCTAAGAAGGAATGCTGGGACAGGTTCCTGCAGGAGAAGTTTGAGTCTGAGTTTTATGTAGAGGGCCATGACTCTGATGAGAGGTAATACGCAAGTCGATGAGAAGGGGTTACCACTTAACCGTGTTGGCAAACAGGCTTTAATTCTTAAAAACTAAAATAAGGTTTTGTCAGGACTTGTGATAGGGCGTTATGACACAAATAACATCGTGTTGCCACGTGGTGAGGCTGTCACAGGCTTTCTGAAACAGTGATGATGGCCGTTTGCATTGCACTGGAGGGGAACGCACAGAGCACGTAGGGTTTGAACCTTCAACGCTGCTCACCGATTTTTGCATCCCTGGGGCGATCCAGCGGGGAAACAACCGGAACCTACTTGACAATTTCCCTTGTCACATTCGGT